CTGTATGTTTATATACTGTGTATTTATATTCATATATATTATATCTATATATGATTATATAAAATTTTATATATATCTCTGCGAAGCCTACACGCAACACTAAATATGTGTGATAGGCCAGTGACCGCTGCCTGGTTCAGAAGTGTACGTCAAAGCGGCTCTATCTAAAAAATAAAATCCGTTCATGCCCGCGCTAATTGTATGGGTTTCAGGAAATACCTTTTTTCGTTTTTATGATTTATGTATTGAGATTTTATATTTTACTTGTATTTGTATATATTATAAAACTATATCTTGATGGTGGTAAGGAAGTTATAGTGATAAAAATGTAATGATGACAGTAATAATATTGATGAAGATGATATCAGCATATTAAAATTGATAATAGTAATAACTGGTAATTTTAATGATTGATAGTTAAAATGGTAGTTTAATAAAGGTGTTATAATTTTCATTCTAATGGTAATGATAATGATATAATTATTTGATTGGCAATGAAAATGGTAGTAATTTTAAACATTGTTTTAGCAGTTTCATCGTCATTTGTTTGATATGTTTTTTGTGTTTAGGTTTGACCGTCGGAAATGTTCGGTTGAATGTACCAACACCTTTCTCTGTCTTCTTTTCTTTATCTCTCTGGCTATGTCCCCTTCGCTTTTTTTCGGGATAGAGGACCTGGGGGTAGGATGGGGCTGTGCATGTGGTTGACCTTTTGTTAGCCTGATGGAAATATGAAGGGAGCTTTAGTACGATCTGCCACGGAGTTCCCTTCCATAGTTGATTAAAGGTAGTGTTTGGGGAGAGGGGTGACGAGGGGGAAGGTCGGAGGTGAAGGGGAATAAAAGGTTAGGGTTCAAAAAAATAAAAGGAAGGGGGAGACGGGATAAAGAAGGGGGATAAGAGAAGGGAGAAAAAGAGGAAAGGAAAGTCTGGCTTTGAGAGATATGTAAAGGCTGAATGTGAAAGTAGTTCAGAAAGGAGGGTGAAGAGGGGAGGCGTGAGGGGACAAGAGAGAGGAGGAATGACTTGCGGAGGACGAGGGGAGAGGAGAGTCAAAAGCCGAGGGACGCGTCAAGGAGGGGAGAGGTTGAGGCAGAGGGGTGAAGCAAGGGCCGAGGGGTGAGCTGAGGGGAGTGGAGTGTAGGGGTGACGGGAAGGGGGAGACAAGAGGAGTGGGGGGGCTATCCACCACATCACGAAGAATGGATCCACAATCTGTAATTTTAATTTGTCTTATCGGAATACAATATGCAAATGAGAGAGCTACCTGTTTCGAGAGGATCAGGCGAGCCTCCTCATTTGGTTAGGATTATTGACTTTTGGGAGGTAGTGGTATCTGGAAAGGCAATTTTAGTTCTGACAGAATGAGATTTGGCGGTGAGCGCAGTCGTAATAATGACGTTGACGGGAATGAAGATTGTTGCGAGAATATTTTTTTTTTGTGACAAAACAATATAACTTTACTAATGGAAAATGTAACAAGGATGATGGCATTAGTTTTTGTAATGTTAATATTACAATAATGAGGGAATGGAATGATAAAGATAATGATTTTAACAAGTGTCAATATAACTAACAATATAATAATGGTAACGATAATATTAATGATAGCAATAGTAACAAGATCATAGGTATAAAATACAAAGTATAACTATAGTATAATGGATATATGCCTAAAATATAAAAGAAAAGAAAGTAACGATGATAAAATAAACAGAAAGACAATGAACTTGATGGTATTCTTGCTCCTCCTTCCCTACCCCTCCACCCTCCACAACATCAAGTGTTGTCTTGAGACTCTTGAAGAGTATCAAACAGATCGGCGCTGCAGAAGGGCACGTGTCTGCTTGCACAAAACCTTCCACCAGTGTTGCAAGTGCTGACTAGTACTCAAGGTTGCTGAGGTACAGGTGTTTTCATTATGCAAGATCATGAGCTCAGGTGTCTGTATGTTAGTAGAATCAATTTTTTTGTATAGGAAAGTTTATCTGTCCATCTAATAGCACACTCACGCACTCACTCTATCACACACACACACACACACACTCTCTCTCTTAAGCACAAACTTTACGCACACACACACACACACACACACACACACACACACACACACACACACACACACACACACACACACACACACACACACACACTCACTCACTCACTCACTCACTCACACGCACACACTCTTAAGCACAAACTTTACGCACACACACACTCACTCACTCACTCACTCACACTCGAAATGTATCTGCTTATCTGTCTAATTATTTATCTGCATACCTATCTATCATTTCATTGATATAAAGATAATGCGATAATCATACAATTGTCATTCATATACCGTATGCATTTAAGTGTACACATGCACTCTTATATACCTTTTTGTGGGAGTTATGATTGCGTGACCCCATAGTCTGTCTTTAACCCTACTACAGACAATGATAAGCGTAATTAATATGAAAAAAATGTCATATCAAAACTTCACTGCGTAAAGTAA